CCCGCCGGGCCGGTGGGGGCCGCGGGGTCTCGGCAGCGCCTCCTCGCTGCAGGCCGCCGTCGCGGAGCCCCTGGCCCCCGTCTTTGTCCCAGGCGCCCCTTCTCGGGCCTCCCCCCAAAAGCACTGCCAGGCACTTCTGGGACTTGCAGGTGGCTTTGGCCACAGGGCTGCAGGAATAGCCCTTGACCTTTAAGTGAAGCTTTCGAGCGGGGTGGGGATTCGCATCCTCTGGCATCCTCCCAACCATCTAATGGTCCTTTGGGGTTGAAAGGATTCCATGAGATTTTTACTTTCTTCTTCGCCCAAGGGAAGGAGAGTATAGTAGATGATAACACACACACACGCACGCACACACACACACACACTACAGATCATATTCATCATATTCACTGAGTGAGTCTTTGTGTCCTGAAATATACATGCATTACCCGGTTTAAAGTAAAAAGATGGTGTCTGAATACACACCGCGTCGCACACACCCTTCAAGGTAACAGACGGAAGGAAATGGTGGGGAGAGGTGTGGATAAGGTTTGCATTGGAAGGAAGCTTCCGCTCCACAAATCTGGAGCCCCACCTGCCACCATTTTATATTAGGGAGGTGACTGGGAAATATCATAAGCGTCGCCAAGTTTGGTCTCTTCTTAAGTCCTCAATCTGCAGGACAGCAGTGATTGCCTTTCTGTGCTGTTTCCAGCAATTGCTATGGCCAGACCTCAATGTTTCTTGCTGGCAAGCTCAACAAATAAAGCAAATCCAGCGGGCGTGTTTGGGTGAGCGGCCGTGTGGAATCAGCACAGTGACTAGGCGATGACTCCTGTCGTCTGGTGGGAATTCGGTATGAAATGAGGCCTGCTCGGAGAATCGGGCGCTGAAGACAGGGATGTCTTCCTGTTCCAGGCCGGATGGCAGTTCCTTACACCTCTCTTCTATACCCAGGGTATTTAAGAGTTGTCACAGCCTCATGGCCTCCGAGTCCTCTTCACCCTCACCCTCTTCTCTCTGTCACAGCAAAGCAGCACTCATTCTCCGGACCTGGATGCTTCAGGGGCAAAACCTAACTACACCCGTTGTGCTTGCTTTCCGTGTTCATCTTTGACGACCTGGGCTCAAAAGGCTCATTACCCGTAAGAGCACTGCTAAGAGTCTTTTCAGAACTCAACTTTTTGTATCTTTTTAAATGGTACCAACATTTTTGTGAGTACTTCTTATTTCCAGGCACTTACATTTTTTCCAGCTACCTCACAAAAGCTCTGTACCACGTTGACTGTCTGTCAGAAAAGTCAGGTAACATACCCAAGGTGTTACGAGTTTATTTAAATACTGCCCAAGGTTCACTACTGTTGGCCAATTTCTTTCCTTGGATTCAAGCAGGAATCCATGGGCTTCACAGAGACAATATATATGACTACGTACATTTTTCCCACAGGAAAAAAGATCCGAGATTGTCAATAAACTTCTTTAAATTGGCCCCTTCATCTAGAAAAAGTTAAGGACAATCACTTTAAACAGAAAATGGCTTTATGTATTAGAACAAGGGCTGGAAGTTTTAGAGATCTTAAGCAAGTCATGTTTATTCTCTCTGGGATTTAGTTTCCCATATGAAAAATTAAAAAGATGAATGAAAGGATTTTAAAATTTCAGCTAACATTCCCTAACTTTGTTAAAACATACTCATAAGTGTACGTACACTAACACACACACCTCAAAATGCCAGCAAGTACCCACTGTGAGATCTCATCTCCCATCCCCAGGACAGAAAATTATGAAATGTGTTCTATGAAACATAGTCTCTTGCCTCACGGTTTTGTAATTGTTTTTGTTTTGTTTCATTTCGTTTTGTCAGTTTTTTTCCACATCCTTCCTCATGCTAAGCATCCCTTCTCCAGTATGTCCAGAAACTTCCATGACAGATACTTTTTCTCACACAAGTTTATTCATTCAGTGAATACTTATTGGGCAGGTTCTCTTTGCTAGGTCCTGTGGGTTAAGAGCCGCCACCCTAGAGGGAGACACAGGAAAAGCAGACAATTGCAGCGCTGCCTAGAAAGGGACAAAATTCTGGAAACTGTGGGAGCACACAAGAAGGATAGTCAACCATCCTCCTGGGGGTTGAGAAAAGGGTTTGCTAAGAAAATGTCATAAGTGCCTGCCCCTCCAACTTTGCTGCCCTAATCGGCTCAGCCTGGAGGGGTGGTCTGCCTGTGCTGTGAACCCACAGTAGGTAAGATCTTTGGTAAACACTTGCCCCTAAGTGAGCTAAAATGGGCCCTCTCCCCAGTCCAGTAATCAAAACTAAGCTTAAAAGCCGCTAGGTAGCCGGTATTGAATGATAAGCTTGTAAACCACAGCAGAGCAAAGCAGAAATCTGGCTCTCAAAACCAAGATGGTAAAGTCACCAGGAAGTAAAATCTAAAACCCTTGCCAGGAAGCTGTTTCAGTAGATAGCAACTGGATTCCTAATGACCCAAAATATTGGTTGTCTAACAGCTTACTTGACATCCCCAGTGTGGTCTCTAACCAGCATCTCAGACTTGATTTGTCTTAAACAGGACTCAATTTTGTACACCAAGACTATCCCCAGACCGCCAACCAAGTTACTGATATCACCATTCATCCAGTTGCACAAGCTCAAGCCCGGGAGCATTGTTGATTCTTCTTCTTGTGAAACTGACAGATCCACACCATCGGCCAGTTCTGACAGCTCTACCCAATCCTGAACCAAACCATTCCACAGCCTGCAACAAAGGAAAACTGTGCACACCTAATTTTTTTGAACCAAGTAAAAAAAGTTAATAAAAGTTCTACAGTGAAAAAGAAAGGATTATATCTAAAGAGCCAGGTCGCCCAGTTATCCAACTATAGTCAACCCTCGAAAGCTAGGAAAGGGAGAATATGACGGTTAGGTGGCCTTGAATCTGAGCACTAGATAGAAACAACTGTCCTTGTTCATAATGATTCATGATCCTAAAACAAACAACAACCTATCTTTCTTTCCCTTTTGTCTCTTATTCATTATGGATTTTCTATATTCATTTTGAATCCAGTAAAAGCCAAAAGGAGCACAGTCTGTACTATGTGCCAGGCCCAGTTCTACATAGTGTATGGTCATCAGCTCATTTATTCCTTACATTCACCCTGCAAGATGTCATTATTATGCTTGCTTTATAGATGAAGCCAATGAGGCACATGGCAGAAAGGCTACTTACCACGGCCACACAAGTATGAGGTCACAAGACTAAAATTTGACTGCAGGCGGTCATTTCAGAACCCACATGGTAAAAGCAACTCAACTTGTTCAGTGGTTGGTCATTGAACAAGAGAGGGAAGCCCAGAATCCTCCCAGGAGCCCGGGGCAGCTAGCTGGATAGTGTGTCAGTCACTAAAATGAGAAATAAAGGTAGAGATGGGGAGCATAGGTTTATGGAAAATTTATGGGTTTTCTGTGAAATCTGGGAATAGCCCATGGGTTCTGCTTGGAACTATACGGACCTGAGGTGTCAGGAACCTTATGGTGGATATATCCAGAAGATGGCTTTGAGGTCAGACAACAAATGCATGATGAATGCAGTCTATGGCAATCGTTATGTTTGGTAATGAGTTATGGGTATAGCCAGTAATCCAGAAGAGTTATTAGTGTGTCTCAGGAAAAATGTAGTAATTGGAAAACAGAATCCCTAAACAACTCACAGTCACCTGTCCTTAGGCATGAGTTCATTAGTACAACTCTTTTAACATGGTAGATTTTAGATCAAGAAAAACATCACTGGGCTGCCATTGCAACAAAAACAACTAACCAACAAACAAACAAATACAACTAATAGACCCACCACCACCACAGTTCATTGGTCAGAAACAATCTATTAAGCTAGTCAGATTCTTTTGGCCAGGAGTGTTTTAAGACTTCATAGGCCCTAAGCATCAGAGCAAATAAGAAAATCCAGCACTTTCAAAATATATCTTCTTCTTCAATGAAAGGTTTTAAATTTTTTTTAACTTTGCATTTAAAATTATTTGCACAAGAATCGTTGTTGTTGTTGCTTGTCGTTTTTGAGACAGGATTTCTCTATGTCGTTCAGGCTGACCCTCACAGAGATTCTCCTACCCTCAGTTGCTGGGATTTCAGGCATGTACTACCACACCTGGCTAAGAATCATTCATTTTATTCACTTGTGGCTGTGATTTGTCCATATTCATCAAATATACTTAGGAACTATTGCGACATAAGAAGAAAATCTAACCTATAATTGTTTTCAAATGGAAGGATATTGTTTATAAACATGAAAAATCACAAACTCATGTTTTATAGACATTTATAATTAAATATTAATTACCAATTTAAAGTTTTCTGTAAATCTGTAATCTCAAGGGATGTACATCTTTCAGGAGCAAAGGGTTGACTTCATGTCTCTATAATGTAAAATTACATCAATTTCTCTAGCACCTTTGTTTGCAATAACTTTCCATTTCCTGGTTCCAGGTACCCATGTAGTCTGCTTACCTTTGTCCTTACATTCTGTGAGAAGCTACTGGGTCTTGTCAATAGATGTATACTGTACTTCATCTCCCTGCCCCCTGCAGACAGCTTGAGTGAGCTTCTCTTCCTGCAGCCACAAGCACTGTTTGTATTGCACAGCCAGCTCCCTACATGTAGACAAGCTCTGCAGTTCTCTCGAAACCAGTGGCCAAATATGGCCCACAAACCCAGGGGAAACCTCCTGAGTAGATGTTCTTGTAATCATTGGC